ATGCACGCCCGCCCCACACCCGGGGCCCCCCCGGGCCGGGCCTGCTGCTTGGAGGGGCCCAGGGGGGTGGGGCCTTCACTCGGCATGGGAGACGGGAAGCCGCTCGGGGATTTCTCCAGGCGCTCGCCGGGCTCTCTGCTCCTGGGCGGGCGATGCCCGGCCCTGACACTCGCCGGGTCTTGGCCCACAAGCCCTGTGCTGAGAATCCGGGGGTGGAGAGGGGCTGGCCCGTGGTTTTACTTGGCTGGTGGACAGGGCACGAGGGCCTTGAAATCTCCTCCTGGCTCTGTAGGGCCGAAGACACCGACGACCCCCAGGGGGCTGTGCGGCCTGTCCAGATCCCTCCAGCAGCCTGCCCCGTTTACTCCGGAGTGACTCCCGGAGCCGATGGCACCGACACAAATTTGGCTGCATGGCCACGCTCAGAGCTTCCCAGTAGAACCCAGAGCCTACTGCTTCCACAGCCCGGGCCCCCGCTGCCTTAGCTATCAGGTGATGTTGGGTAGCAGTAGCGGGGCTATGACACACAGCAGAGCAGTGTGGATTTAATCCACCCACACGCATGCTCAATGCAAGCAGGTGAGTGGCCAGAGTGTGAGACACGGGTGGCCCAACTCTGCCACTGATCCACTGCATGGACTTGGGCAAGTCGCTTTCTGTTTCCTCCCTGGCAGAAAGCGGGTGACGGTCCCCGCCCAGCCTGTGTGTCGTGGGGACTGCAAACAGCAGTACTGCAAGCAGGCAGGAAGGCAAGGCGGCCAGGTCCCCCGGGGGGCTCACCCAGGGACGCCAGCACCGTCACGGCGACGATCAGCAAGACGCAGAAGACGTACAGCCCCTTGACGGAGGTCTGGAGTGACAGGTTCCTCTGGCACCGGCTGCAGGTGGTCTGGGTCCGGCCTGAACAGGGACAAAGGTTGGACCCTTCCGGCGCCGGGAAGGGGGGTGGGCAGGAAGCGGCAGGGATGGGAGCGGGTGTGAGCTCGGAGGCAGCAAACCCAACATACACCCCCTCTGCCGGCTGCCCAGCGCCAGCAGGGGCCCCTCTAGGCAGAGGGGAGAAGCCAGGAGGTTCCCCCAAATCAACCCCTTGAATCCACCGGGGCATCTGCGCCCAGGGCACACGCGGCCCAAGCGGTCGGCCGCAGGCCCAGCCCCTCCGCTGGCCGAGGGG